GGGGAAGTGGGAGGGGTAGGGGAAAGGAAAAAAGGGAAAAGAAAAAATATGAGAAAAGGAAAAAAATGGAAACAAAGTCTTTGCAACTAGGGAAGGGTGGAGGGGGTGAAGGGAGGGCAGGGGAAGGAGAAAAAAAAAAGGACCAAGATACTCATGTAATGGTACAAGATTCCAATGATGAATGTAACTGTATTTTATACCTAAAATGTACCAATAAATTTAACGCGAAAAAAAAATTTACCTAGAGAACGAACTGAATTGCTGTCTTTTCCTAGTTTTCACAAGTCATTGATGTGTATTGTTATAATTGGGGATAATTGTCATTTTAGTTACTGTGTCACGATTTTGTTAAACTTTTTAAAGATGTTCTGTTTTCCTCAGTTTATAATTTGTTTGAAATGGTTTGGAAGGCTTAAAGATCAGAAGTCTACTAACAGTTTACAAGTAAAGTGTTTATTACCACTAAACATTCTCAAATTATCGCCTTCTTTACTAAAATTTTTTCTTTTCCTCTCATCATTCTGTATGCCATTTCCTGTGTTTCACGCCAAGACTGCAGTCACTTTTAAATTTTAGGGTCCTTAGCCACTCACACAGCAAACTTTGAAGCTGAGCAGAGATCCATTGATGGCTCATAAAATAGTTTGGCATGTGTAGCCAGCACTTTGAAAAATGAACTGTAATTTGTACTATGAGATTTGTAAAATCAAAATTTAGGACATGTATGTAGATAAATGCAAATTTCACATGAATAAGAAATATTTTAATATGTTTTATGAAATATATACTAAAATTATTCATTATTTAGCTGAAGTTCATAATTCGACAATTTGTATTTAATTTGGCAAGCCTAAGCATAATGTAATAGAAAATAATACATGTTACATGTAGCCTTGTTTTAAGAAATACTTATTTTAGGATTTTTGTATGTGTATAAACATGCTGGATGGGAGTGTGCAAAATGCTGTTTTTCTGATGACCATCCAAATGATGTAAAATCATTTGGAAAGCTACTGCTGTCCTAAAGGTAATTTTATAAATAAATCTGTAATGACTGTGGATAAGTATTAAAGGTTATCATTTACACGCTTATGAATTATATACTTAGGTTCTGGTAAGGTGCTTTATAATATACTGTTCTTTGTTATATCCTCTTCTTGAGCATGTAATTTTATCTTCCATAGCCAGTTCCACCACAGAATGTGGAAGATCAAGAATAGGATCTCAATCTGAGATTGTGTTGAAAAGAGAGAAGCTTGCTATAACAGTACAAATAATTGTCATTATAATCTTATGTCTTAACAATTTTACATTTTTGGAAAAATGTTCTTAAATATGGCTTTCATTTTGGAATAAAGTTGCATGAAAGATAAATTCCAGAGTTTATTATATTTAATAGCCACCTTTTCTTTTGTTATTACTGGAGATTGACCCAGGGCCTTCACACTAAGCTATATCCCCAATCCTTTTTTAATTTTTTTTTTTATCTTGGAGACAGTGTAATCCACCTAGCTCAGCCTCCTAGACAGCTGGGATTTCAGGCACATGCCAGTGTGCCCAGCTAGCCACTTACTTTTTGACTACCTCAACAGATAGTGCAATCATATATTTACTCTAAGCGCATTTTGTTTTGGGAGAAGTATGAGGATGTAAATCATTCTAAATGATTCCGGTATATTCTGATCTAGAATAGCGTAATCAGAATATTGAAATATCTTTCCTGGTATCAGTGTAGGTATAACTCATTTTTAAACTATAACTAAAATATTTATTTGTATAAAAGTTAATACATGAAATATTTAGGAAAACTGAAAAGATAATAAATCGTTTCCTCTCTTGTCAACAGCAACTTTTTAACTGTCAGTCTCTACACAAACTGAGTTTGCCGGACAATGATTTAACAGCTTTGCCAGCGTCCATTGCAAATCTTATTAATCTCAGGGAACTGGATGTCAGCAAAAATGGTAAGGTTCCCCTCCTCCCTAAGTTTTTATACTTGGAAACAAGTTTAATTAAGATTTATATTGT